TATATTGGTTTCACGTCGTCAGCGTCGTCCGAAGACATATAACTTTAGTTTAAGTATATGGATCTCTATGAAATTTTTCAAAAGGTTCAATACCACAAAAGGAAGGTTGGGATTTTTTTGGGGGTGATGGTCCCAACCGTTTAGGAATTAGGGGCCAAAAAGGAGCCAAAGCAAGCATTTTTCTAGTTTCAGGACAATAACTTGTGTATAAGTATTTTGATTGCTCTGAAATTGTACCACAAGGTTCAATATCACAAGTAGAAGGTTGGGATTCATTTTGGGGGTATTTGCCCAAACCATTCAGGAATTAGGGGCCAAAAAGGGTCCAAAACAAGCATTTTTATCTAGTTTTCAGACAATAACTTGTAATTAGGTGTATGGATGTCTCTTAATTTGTACCATATTTTACAAAAAGAAAATTTCTTCAAAATAATTTTTTTTGGAAAAAAGGGGGGTGGGGGGTAAAAAAAAATTTTGTTTGGGGGGGAATTTTTTTTCCTCAAAAGAAAATTCTCTTCAAATATTATTTTTTTGGAGGAGGGGGGTAAAAAAAAATTTTTTTGGAGGGGGGTTAATTTTTTTTCCTCAAGATTTAAAAAATTGTCAATTTTCCAAAGAAAAATATTGGGGGTCACAATTTTTTTTTTTTCTTATTCTTTGTATAAAGTCTGAAAACAGATTTACTAAGTATTGCGCAACAGCAGTGTATTGCACAGCAACAGCAGTGTATTGCACAACAGCAAGAAATCTTCGATTGAATATAAATTCAAATCATACAACCAATTTCAAGTTCTTTGCCACATTTATTCTGTAACAGAAACCTATAATGTGTCAAATATTTAATTACATTAATCCAAATGTATCAAGCTTGAATATTGTGTACATTTTTGCCCCAACTGTTCAGGGTTGGACCTCTGGGGTCGTATCCAGCTGCGCTTGGCGAAGCAGTTTATTTAAAATTGGGGGTAAAAAGGTGACTCAGATTTTTACCTTATACATGTATTTGCATTGGTATAATTTGGGTCTCAAATCGAAAGAAAAGAAATCTAGAATCTGCTTAAATTTTGGTAAATGACCTTAAATGGGATATTGAAGTCTTATACGAAAAGAAAAATGGGTGTTATGGGGCAAAATATTTTACCCTGTATCGTAGGAAAAAACTAAGTAGTCCGAACATCTGACACAAATTCCTAAACCTGACCTACGTACATCCTTATAACCAAAACTAGGCTTTATGCCTACCTGTATTTATTGCTGAGATCTGGAACAGGGTAAATGGATGTCACACTAAACTCCAAAACATATAAATGAACAAAATTAAAAAACATACAAGACTAACAAAGGCCAGAGGCTCCTGACTTGGGACAGTCGCAAACATGCGGCAGGGTTAAACATGTTTTGTGAGATCTCAACCCTCCCCCTATACCTCTTAACCAATGTAGAATAAACATACAAATTCACATCAATGACCTTCATGAAGGACAAGGGCACTATTGAAATAGAAGCATATATATAAAACAAATTGATGTATAATCAAAATTGGCATAATACAAAATTTACAACAAAATGTATTTAGAAATTTGCCTGACCAGAGTAGTAGTTCCAATATTGATCATGTAGTCTCTGTGATCAATACTACAATCTTTATACTTCATTAACAGTCAAGGTTCCTATCAGATATATTAAAATGAGCAGTAACATCATTGTATATACCTACACATGCAAAGTTATCATTGAGTAAAGGTGAAAGATACATCTTATTGTCTAAGATTGATTCACTTATTGTCATTTATATATAATTAACAAATGTTTGGCATTGCCTATAGAATTTGATTCTGCTGCATTTTTAATGCATGTACAATATATAACTATGAAAACCAGAAAATAATAATATAGGTTTTCTGCAACAAGAATCTGTGTGTTGTAAATTCATGTGATGTTTTCAGCTTATGTGACCAATGGGTAGCAGCTGCCATCACATGGTGTCAATTGTGTGTTGCCTGTGAGTGTCATCCTTAGTAAACTCTTCATTACTTTAAGAAGCTGTCTTTTTTCTTTATTTTACTCGTTAATGGGAAGAAGGCATGGTATACTACTAAAGACCAAAGCAGTTGCCATTAAACAAAGATTGATTTGTTGACCAAAATTTTATTTATTTTTTGATAGGTTCATGGTGGGGTTAATACTGTGTTTAAATTAATATTATAGGGATATTATCAGCTAACTTTTGACTGTTTTTTTACAGGTGTAGGGTGGTGAAGGGATGGCATGCTATGGTCTGTGCAAAGACAGATATGTACTACAGACCAAGGCATTGCTGCCCCACCCCTGGGAATCTTTAGCTGATCTTTGTCAAGACTTATACGAAGCTACTGTCATCCAAGGAAATAAAAGATTGGTTGTGTGTGTAGCCTGCTCTGGACAAAACTACAAGTTTGATCTAACTTCTGGTAAGTTTTACCTCATTTTAAACACCTTAGTCAATAGATGTTAAAGTCTACCAAATCTTTTGACACAAAATTTGATATCACCATCTTTCAGTCCTTTACTAAGTTCTGATGAACAGTCAAACATTTAGTAAGAAGACTTCAGACTATCATGTGTAGTACATTGTTGTTTGTTTCTGTTTGTGTATCTATTATTGGTAAGAGTCAGGTGTTGGTGGTTTAGAAGGGGCTGTACATGTTGTACAATAGTTTTGGTTGTTCCTTTTATCCTTTTATGTATTATTTAGATAAACATTGTTAACTAATTAAAGAAGAACTTTTAAATTTTCAACTGGGGAAGGGTACTTAAGCTCATCAATAACTTTAAGGAAATATTTGTCTTTGCAGATAAATCAATATTATCATGTTTATTAGATAAATAATGCAATGCATGGTCTAGCTAATTAGAGGTGAGTTTGTGTAAAATTTAAGCAAAGAATTGAATATAAGGAAACAAAAACAAAAATACCCCCACTTTTCCAAAATGACCAATCTTATCTTTGCATGTTAGGATGAACAAATTACATAGATGAATCTATAGATTAACCAAACTTAGCATGATTATTCACCTCTACTACAATGCTAGACTGTTTGTCATGCAAAAGAAAGAAAACTGTACAGTGAAAGTCAAGGTCAAAAACATAGTTCAACTTAGTCATTCCTGTGCATATATATAGACACAAAAAAAAAGTTTCTGCTCTCTAACTTTGAAACCCGTTGGAGTTTTATATTGAAACTTGAAAAGATTATTTACCACTACTAGAGGGTGTGTAGCTTACAAGGGAAAAAACTACAGCGAAGGTCAAGGTCACAACCTTAGTTCAACTTAGTTATCACTGTGCATATGTAGAAAAATAGTTTCAGCTCTAGCTTTCAAACCCTTTGGGTTTGGTAATGAAACTTAGAGTGATTATTCACCCAATACAATACAAGAAGGTGTTATTGGTACAAGGGATAAAATCCTACAATGAAGGTGAAGGTCAGAAACTTAGTTGAACTGTAGTCACCCCTGTGCATATATATGTAGAAAATTTGTTTCCACTTTAAAATCCCTTGGAGTTGGGAAATGAAAATTGGCATGATTATTCAGCTCAAGGTGTGTCAGATACAAGGAAGAAAACCATACATAAATAGTAGGGATGTCAACTCAGTAAAGATTTACTAATCGAGTACTCATTGGCTTTACTGTGCGATACTCGACTACTCGCTCGGAAAAATATCTACAAAATGGAAACACAAAATTATACCCAGTTTACGTATTCTGGGTCGTTGTCTTATGGACATAAAACCCTCAACATTATTACATAGGACTAGATAATAGTCCCAGGAATTTTAAACCATAATTAATAGCTCATTTACTACATGTACTAATTATGTAAACCGGCAATAATCTAATCAATTAATTAATAAACATTTATAGAAAAATTATTACTCATACAACAGTCAAATGACAGTATTTAGGAATCGCAAAGAAACACATTTAATGATCAACAAAGGGGTGATGATTAGAACTTACTGATGCCTTTAACCATTTTCTGACCCTCAGGTGCAACGAATTTGTTCTTATATTTTAGAAACATTATCTTGTCAACTTTTTCTTGGACAATTTGATTTCTCAACCTTGTTACGTAACTAACAGTCCTGCTGATGAAAATATTTGCTCTGACGGTACAGAGGTGGTGGAATGACTAAGAATTGATTAGCGAAAAGTGTAAGCCTTGGAAAGGTGCTGTTGTTCATAGCCTAACTCCATTATGAGGAATTTTAAATGACAATTAAACGCAAACATTCAAAAACTATTTAAATTTTGATTAATTTTGATTTATATTTAATTTCCCGGGAGGTGCTCTTAATAAGAATATTTTTTCTTTAAGAAGGCAACAACATTCTAACAGGAAACCGATTAGTTGAGTATCATTTTGGTATTCGATTCTCTGTGGATATGTACAAAAATTGTTTCAGCTTTCAATTCAAACCCATTACAGTTTTGGATTGAATAAGCAGTGCATCCAAAAATTTGCACCTTCCATGAATATAAACTTGTAGATATAAGAAGATGTGGTATGAGTGCCAATGAGACAACTCTCCATCCAAGTCAAAATTTATAAAAGTAAACCGTTATAGGTCAAAGTACAGCCTTCAACACGGAGCCTTGGCTCACACCGAACAGCAAGCTATAAAATGCCCCAAAAATTACTATGTTTAAATCAAATAACCTATCACAATGTACTGTGATGGCTCCCATAACTACCCTCAAATTGTCAATTGTTGATAATCATATGTTGACTTCTTTTGCCTTTTATTTTTTTGTGTTATTGGGTTGCTGTCTCATTGACTTTTATCTCACATCTCCCTTATTCATGTTTGATTGATGTTTGTCTAATGTCCAGTTTATAACTACAACACAATATTTGGATATTACACCTCTTAGTTTTTGTTTACACCGATCAGCTGATCATTACAGGTAACATTTCCTGATAAAGATTATAGATAAAAGTTTTATATGTAAAGTCCAATACATAACAATATTACATGTATGTGACAGCTTGGATATATACATGCAGTCTTGCATATGTGTATCAACAGAGACACTAGAAATCATTACACAGGAACTGGGAGCCTCATTAACCCCCTTTTCAGAGGGTTACAGGCTCCCAGGATATTTCAGGATGTTTATTTTAATGCGAGAGAAAAAATTTTTGTCACCTATCTTGACAAAATTATGGATACCACCAATCAGACTAACAAGTAGGTTTTAGTATTAATACACATTGTACACTAATACATGTATATATTACTCATAATTATCAGTTTAAATTTATTTGATAGAATGTGTATGATAAACTTAGAAAGTAATTTTCCTCATCAAATTTGAAGGTTTTAAGTATTGGTTTATTTGATACCTAGCACGTTTTTACCTCATCATACCCGGGGTTAACATATTGCTCAATAGTCCCAAGTTCACATGTACTGGGTTGTGTAGTGAAAAATCCATATGTCCTGAAGGTTATTTCATTTCACTTAGTCCTGATTTGGCTTTCACCTACATATAAATTGCTTACAAATTATTGTCCTGTCATAGTGTGCATTTTATTTAAACTTTGACTCATCATAAAGCACTTATATAGTTGTATGTGAACTGTATTTTCCTGAATGATAACTTCCTTTTTGATTCTTCGTTGTAGTAATCACATAGATATTTCTTTTTATGCTCCATTTAAAACTTCCAGGAGCATCATGAGTAATAGTAGTATATCATTTTGTCCTTCCATCTTTCTGTCTGTCCCTCCATCCATGTGTCTGCAAACAAATGGTTTCCAGATGGAGACTTGGGTATCCCATGCTTGATTGGAATAACACATTATAGGTAATAATACCTGTGGAAAATATAGGAAAGAGAGAGAAGCCTGTTGATATGTGCCAAAAGGTCAATGTAAAGTTTACAGTTACTAAAAATTGAAAAAAATGGATGGTAACTTGAGTTTCCCTTGCTTGATTAGAATGAAACTTAAACAGATAGAAGATGAAGGAAAGAAAGAAGCATAATGATTTTAGGGTAAAAGTTCAAGGTGTCAGTTATTTAAAATAGACGAAAATTGGGGAAAATGGTTTCCGGATGGTTACATAAGTTTTAGTTGTACCGTACTTGCTTGATTAACTGATGATAAGATATAGGGAAGAGGAAAAATCAAATTGATTTTGTAGGTCAAAAATAAAGGTCATTGTTGCTAAAATCAGATTTTTTTTAAAAGGTTTATGATTTCAGACTGTGTATTGTAACCATGGTAACTGCCTCAGTGGTTTCATAAAAGTGTGCTTGTCTCTAGTGCAGGAGGTTGTTGGTTTGGTCACAAGCTGGGTCAAACTGTCTTCCTGTGGACTGTTACCATGTGATCTAAGCACATTAAAAATCTGACACAGCATGTTGGTGTGGTTCAAAGCAGGGTTCATATTCATATCACATTAACATGTTCTTGTCCTGAATATGCATTTTATTTGGCCAATGAACATTAAACATCAATCCATCATCTGATCAGTATGAATTGTAACACATTTATACAGATGAAAAATTTTTAATAATAGTGCATGTTTATTTATAAAATTAAAAGATGTGGTATGATTGCCAATGAGACAACTCTCCACAAGAGACCAAATGACACAGAAATTTAACAAATATAGGTCACCGTACAGCCTTCAACAATGAGTAAAACCCATACCGCATAAGTCAGCTATAAAAGGCCCTGAAATGACAAATGTAAAACAATTCAAACGAGAAAACTAACAGCTTGATTTATGTACAAAATAATGAACAAAAAACAAATATGATAAATAGAAAAAAACATGACCTTGTGCAATGCCAAGATACAGATATCGACATATTGTAGAGCATGAATGTGCATATGTATATAAGAATAATATTTTGTTTGATTTTAAGTTACGGATAACAAAATCAATATAAATACCAATAAAAACAATATTCAAAGATCTAATTAAAGTGTTGAATTGGTAACCTTTTAGAATAAGTTTATTTAAAGGATCGATAAGTTTTCCCGGATCGTTTTTAAATATCTTGGCTTGATAAACAACAACTCTGTAAAAATTAGGATGTGCTATCCCGTTTAAAATAAGTTTTTCTACAGGTACAACCAAACTTCCAAACCAAAATTGGCAAATCTTTATATCTATGGAAGAATTTAGTAAAGGTTTTAAGTAATTTGTGGTAACGAAATCCCTGACTTAGTAATTTACCAGTAATAAATAGATTACGTTCATCATGTTCATTGAAATCCAAAACATTACAACAGACACGGGCATAGTGAGTTGTGATATATAAACACTGTAAGATGGTGCAAAAGGAACATCAGCATCCAAAAAAGGAAAATTATTTGTCCCTCTGGCTTATTGATATTTTGAAACTTTTTTTTTAGCTCGCTGGCCCAAATGGCCAAGTGAGCTTTTCTCATCACTTGTTGTCCGTCATCCGTCGTTTTCTGTTAAATTTTGAAAAATCTTCTCCTCTGAAACTACTGGGCCAAATTTAACCAAACTTGGCCACAGTCATCATTAGGGTATCTAGTTTAAAAAAATGTGTCCGATGATCCCGCCTACCAACCAAGATGGCCATAATGACTAAATATAGAACATAGGGGGTAAAATGGAAGTTTTGTCTATTATTTTGAAAACTGTTATAAATAGAGAAAATCTGACAAGAACAGAAATGTTCAGAATGTTGAGCTCTACCAAATTTCCATATATGTCAAAACTGTCAGACGACTTCTTATAGGAGTTATTGCCCTTAAATGACAAATTTTACCATTTTATTTCATTTTTGCCTACTATCTTGAAAACTATAATAGATAGAGGGAAACTTTAAATAGCAAAAATGATCAGCAAGACAAGTTCTACAAATAAGTCTACATGGTCGAAATCATCAGTCGACTCCTTATACAGAATATTGCCCTTTGATGACAATTTTAATTAATTTTTTGTGTTTTTGCCTTATATCTTAAGAATAATAATAGATAGATAGAAACTTTAATAAGGAAAAATGATCAGCAAGACAAGATCTACAAATGAGACAATATGGAGGAAATCGTTGGACGACTCCTTATTGGAGTTATTGCCCTTAAATGAGAAATTTTACCATTTTTTTTCATTTTTGCCTGTTATCTGGAAAACTATAATAGATAGAGAGAAACTTTAAATTTCAAAATGATCAGCAAGACAAGTTCTACAAAAAGTCCAACGTGGTAGGAATCGTTAGTCGACCTCTTATAAGAGTTATTGCCCTTTGGTTAAGATTTTTTACTAACTTTTTTGTGTTTTTGCCTTATATCTTAAAAATTTTAATAGATAGATGGAAACTTAAATAAGCAGAAATGATCAGCAAGACAAGATCTACAATTAAGACATATAGAGGAAATCAGCTGATGATTCCTTATTGGAGTTATTGCCCTTTAATGACAATTTTAACATTTTTTTTTGCGTTTTGCCTTGTATGACAAAAATTATAATAGATAAATAGGCACTTTGAATTACAAAAATGATCAGCATGGCAAGATCTACTAACAATATAAAGAATAAGATGTGGTATGATTGCCAATGAGATACCTCTCCACAAGAGACCAAATGACACAGAAATTGAACAACTATAGGTCACCATACAGCCTTCTACAATGAGCAAGTCAATTTTTTCCAATATATAGTTAGTAGACTGTCACTCTTTATAGGAGTGATTGCCCTTAAATGAGTATTTGTTTTACCCTCTTTTGTGTTTTAAGCAAATCTAAAGAAGATAGAGAGAATCTAAACAGACTAAATGATCAGCAATACAAGATCAACAAAATATGGTTTTTTGTAATGAAGTCTATTCTCGTCTACAATGTTGGAGAGTCCTTTGTTGAATATGCACATAGACCAAGGTGAGCAACACAGGCTCTTTAGAGCCTCTAGTTAAATTTTTTTTTCTCAATAATTGTGACCATTTGGGGAGCATTAATTTTCTCTCAATAATTGTGACCATTTGGGGAACATTAATTTTCTCTCAATAATTGTGACCATTTGGCAAGCATCAATTGGCATGCAGTGCCAGCATTTTACTTGTTCATTTTATATCATATTATAAGCTAAATTATGAAACTGAATTATTCTATTAAACTTTTGTGAAACTAATCTTGGTATCATACACACCTTCAGAGATGAAAAAATAGTCCATTGAAGGATCTTATGATTTAGTGAATTATGAACAATACGTACTTTAAATAGTTTTTAAAGTAGCTGCTAGTATTCTCAGATCTGTACTTAGTGTCTTGTTAGTTGTGGGAATATATGAATACCCTGCAACATCCAGTTTGCTAGATATTTTTCTGCTTTGTATCGATCTGATGAGTTAAGCACTTTTCAACTGATTTCTATAGTTTGTTCTTATGTTGTACTGTTACTCCACTGTCCCAGGTTTCGGGTAGGGTTTGGCGCCAGAAAATTAGTTTAACCCTGCCACATTCTGTGTCTGTCCCAAGCCAGGAGCCTATTATTCAGTTGTTGTTGTTTGTTGCTGTATATCATATTTGATTTATGTTCATTGTTTTGAACATAAGTCTGACAGGCCGTTTGTTTTCTTGTTGAAATTCTTTTGCATTTCGGGGCCTTTTATGGCTGACTATGCAATATAAGTTTTGCTATGTCATTTGGTCTCTGGTGGAGGGTTGTCTCATTGGCAGTCATACCACATCTTCTTATTATACGACCGCAAAAAAATTTTTGTGGTCGTATATTGGTATGACGTTGGCGTCGTCGTCGTCGTCGTCGTCCGGCGTCGTCGTCCGAAGACGCATTAGTTTTCGCACTCTAACTTTAGTTTAAGTGAATGGATCTCTATGAAATTTTACCATAAGGTTCAATACCACAAAAGGAAGGTGGGGATTGATTTTGGGGGTTATGGTACCAACAGTTAAGGAATTAGGGGCCAAAAATAAGCATTTTCTAGTTTCCAGACAATAACTGTGGAACGGTGTATGGATCTCTCTGAAATTATACTAGAAGTTTCCATACCACAAAGGGATGGTTAGGATTTGCTTTGGGGGGTTATGGCTCAAACCGTTTAAGAATTAGGGGCAAAAAAGGGGGAAAAACAAGGTTGTCCTGGTTAATGGACAAATACTTTAGTACAAAACATAATTTAAAGCAGTGTAAGGGAGATAAATCAAATTCATCATTGAAATTATCTCCCTTACACTGCTTTTAAATTATGTATAAAGTAATGGTTAATGAACAATTAAGATAATTTAAAACAGTGTAAGGGAGGTAATCTAAATACAACGTTTTGGTTACTTCCCTTACACTGCTTTTAAATTATGTTTAAAGAAATGCATATTTATAAAGGAAGACCAGTAAAAATATCTGCAAATGTTGCATCTTTTTTTTTTACAACAAAATCCATATGAAAGATTTGACACTATATTTTAAATTCTATTATAAAATAGATTAAGTTAGCACTATGGTAGATTTAAATGGGTAATTATAGTTGCAAACTCCATTGGAAATTTAAATTGAGATTATGACCATATCTTGAGGGAAAGAATTTTTTTGGGAAAAAAAGGGGGGGGGGGGTTTAAAGAAATTGTGGGGGGTCAATTTTTTCTCATTTCAGATTTCAGAAATTAAAAAGAATTATTCTTCAAATATTATTTTTTTTTCAAATTTCAAATATTGAAAAATTTCAAGAAGTAATCTTTAATTGGACAGTATGCGCATTAGATTTGTAAAATCTTTGACCACATTTATTTATTTGTTATGCCGAATCTAACCGTGTATTTAGATTTTTAATTTTGGGTCCAGTTTTCAAATTGTTCTACATTAAGGTCCAAAGGGTCCAAAATTAAACTTTGTTTGATTTTAACAAAAATTGAATATATGGGGTTCTTTGATATGCTGAATCTAAACATGTATTTAGATTTTTGATTTTTGGCCCAGTTTTCAAGTTGGTCCAAATTGGGGTCCAAAATTAAACTTTGTTTGATTTCAACAAAAATTGAATATATGGGGTTCTTTGATATGCTGAATCTAACCATGTATTTAGATTTTTGATTTTTGGGCCCCGTTATCAACTTTGTCCACATTGAGGTCAAAAGGGTCCAAAATTAAACTTAGTTTGATTTTAACAAAAATTGAATTCTTGGGGTTCTTTGATATGCTGAATCTAAAAATGTGTTTAGATTTTTGATAATGGGCCCAGTTTTCAAGTTGGTCCAAGTTGGGGTCCAAAATTAAACTTTGTTTGATTTCAACAAAAATTGAATATATGGGGTTCTTTGATATGCTGAATCTAAACATGTATTTAGATTTTAGATTTTTGGCCCAGTTTTCAAGTTGGTCCAAATTGGGGTCCAAAATTAAACTTTGTTTGATTTCAACAAAAATTGAATATATGGGGTTCTTTGATATGCTGAATCTAACCATGTATTTAGATTTTTTATTTGTGGACCCCGCTATCAAATTGGTTCATATTGAGGTCAAAAGGGTCCAAAATTAAGCTTTGTTTGATTTCAACAAAAATTGAATATATGGGGTTATTTGATATGCTGAATCTAACCATGTATTTAGATTTTTGATATTTGGGCCCCGTTATCAACTTTGTCCACATTGAGGTCAAAAGGGTCCAAAATTAAACTTAGTTTGATTTTAACAAAAATTGAATTCTTGGGGTTCTTTGATATGCTGAATCTTAACATGTGTTTAGATTTTTGATAATGGGCCCAGTTTTCAAGTTGGTCCAAGTTGGGGTCCAAAATTAAACTTTGTTTGATTTCAACAAAAATTGAATATATGGGGTTCTTTGATATGCTGAATCTAAACATGTATTTAGATTTTAGATTTTTGGCCCAGTTTTCAAGTTGGTCCAAATTGGGGTCCAAAATTAAACTTTGTTTGATTTCAACAAAAATTGAATATATGGGGTTCTTTGATATGCTGAATCTTACCATGTATTTAGATTTTTTATTTGTGGGCCGCTATCAAATTGGTTCATATTGAGGTCAAAAGGGTCCAAAATTAAACTTTGTTTGATTTCATCAAAAATTGAATTCTTGGGGTTCTTTGATATGCCAAATCTAACCGTGTTTTTAGATTTTTAATTTTGGGTCCCATTTTTAAATTGGTCTACATTAAGGTCCAAAGGGTCCAAAATTAAACTTAGTTTGATTTTAACAAAAATTGAATTCTTGGGGTTCTTTGATATGCTGAATCTAAACATGTGTTTAGATTTTTGTTTATGGGACCAGTTTTCAAGTTTGTCCAAGGTGGGGTCCAAAATTAAACTTTGTTTGATTTCAACAAAAATTGAATATAATATGGGGTTCTTTGATATGCTGAATCTAACCATGTATTTTGATTTTGGAAATTGGACCATAATAGGTAAATTAAAAAAATTGAAGTTCTTAGACCACATTCTTTCTGTGTCAGAAACTTATGCTGTGTCAAATATTTAATCACAATCCAAATTCAGAGCTGTATCAAGCTTGAATGTTGTGTCCATACTTGCCCCAACTGTTCAGGGTTCGACCTCTGCGGTCGTATCAAGCTGCGCCCAGCGAAGCATTTTATTTTTATATTGTCTCGCCTGCGACGAAAGTGCGAGACATAGTGCGGTTTAAGTTTTGCTATGTCATTTGGTCTCTGGTGAAGAGTTGTCTCATTAGCAGTCATACCACATCTTATTATTTTTATATTTATTGTCTCGCCTGCGAAGGAAGTGCGAGACATAGGTATTACTATCCGGTAGGGGCGGTGGCATAAACTATTTGTATAAAGCTTTATATTTCAGAAGGGAGAAGACCTGAATGCTTCATATCTTGTATGCAGATACCTTATGTCACGAAGTTTCCGTCAACCATATGTCAATTGTCCTTCACCTCATTTTCATGGTTCAGCGACTGCTTGAAATAAATTTGAGTTTTTTTGTCGTGTGAATTTCTCACTTATTATGAGTTATTTAAAGGGTAACTATATTTGGTATATGGGTTCCTTGCAATGTCCATCAGACAGAGTTCACCTGACCTCGACTTCATTTCATGGATCAGTGATCAAGGTTAAAGTTTTGTGATTAGGTCCCTTTCTCAAATACTGTAAGCAGTAGGTCAACTATATTTGGTGTATGGAATGATTGTACGGTGTAAATGTCTGTCTGGCAGGTATCATCTAACCTTGACCTCATTTTATGGTACATTGGTCAATGTTAAATATTTGTGTTTTTGTCTGTTTTTCTAGTGCTATAAGCAATAGGTCATTAACTATATTTGTGGTATGGCATGATTGTACGATGTACATGTCTGTCTGGCAGGTATCAATTCTGACCTTGACCTCATTTTATGGTTCATTGGTCAATGTTAAGTATTGTGTTTTTGTCTGATTTTCAAATAGCATACGCAATAGGTCAACTATATTTGGTGTATAAAAAAATTGTAAGGTGTATTATAATAATGTCTGTCTGACACGATTTATCTGACCTTGACCTCATTTTCATAGATCTTTAAAAATGTTAAGTTTCTGTAATGCTTTTAGTAAAACCTTTATCTTTAAAACTTTCATCATAAAATCAATGGTCAGTAAAGCAGGGGAGACATTTCAGCGTGTGCACTCATGTTTTACACAAAACATTCCATTTGTTTTGCATGTATAATATTATCAAGAAATATAAACAACAGAAAAAACTAAAAAAAAATGGAATAAAGCCAGTCTGAGCCAAAATATTGTAATTTATTTCTGTTTGTGTTGATCAAATCATTCAAACAGTTCAGCAATTACAATTTCTTGGTAATGATAATTGACATTTGTAATGATCTGCATCAGACTAGATGTTGCTGATAAAGCTTTATAAATTACAATACTCAGGGAATATCAATATTATCATGATTATTTATTATTTCAATATTATCAAAATCTATATAATGTTTGGGTGTAATAGCACCACATCATAGTGCATGTACATCACATCTGGCATCTGGTTTCATACGAAAAAGGGTTGAAAAAAAATATTCCTTTGAAATTGACAGTTGTAGAAAATTAATCTTTCATTTCATTGCAATCAAAAATATATATATAAAGCTACGATAGCTTGTAAAAAGGGAAAAAGGGGTGAAAACTTGATTCAGGTCTACTTCTGGTGATGGTATTTTCTTAAAAGCAATGAAATATGAATTTTTTGGCTCCTGAAAGTGCAAAAATACTAAAACTCTTCATTGGTTTTAACATTTTGGTTAAGTTTGTTGATGAATAGATAAGGGACACTTTATGTTGTCACTTGTGATGTCACCATGATGTCATAAACATGTTGAAATTGACATATATATTTGACCTAATTTATATACATCAAAAGTAAATATCTAGTCAGCAGTGTAGCTAGGCAGACCTTTTTTTAAGTAATATCCCAGTAAATTACCTCTTCACATTCATCTCATCTGGTGCCAATGTTTTATTTTCATTATCCATAATGTTCCCTGAGAGATTCCCTCTTCTCAGGACCAAGACATGCTGTGGTCAACATGGTCAATGATAGTACTGGTAATATAGCCAATAAATTGCGGTTTAGATCTGTAAAAGTTGTCACATGGTTGCTTTGGTCACTGTTTTACAATATGGCTGTACATGTTATTTATCATGTATACAATGAATATATTATCCAGCTAATGGCTTTTTCGAAGTTTCCTCCAGTACCAACCACCAGATGTTTTTATTGGCTCGATTTAAATAATATCCAATCATTTCATTTAAAAAACATTACCAAATATTTATAATTTACATGTCAAGAAACAAATGTTAGTATTGACTGAATTGACATTAAATTGTCTCAAAATAATTTTGAAATTAAATTGATTTTTTTTCTACCGCATTTTTTGCAGCCGTATAATGGTATGGCTGTGTCGTCTATGTGGTTGTTGTCTGAAAACATTTGTTTTTCAGACAATAACTTGAGTATTAGTGTATGGGTCCTTATGAAATTGTACCACTAGGTTCCATACCACAAAAGGAAGGTAGGGATTGATTTTGGGGGTTAACTGTTTAGGAAGTAAGGGCCAAAAAGGGGCCAAAACAAGCATTCGTCTTGTTTCAGGACAATAACTTGTGGATAAGTGTATTAATCTCTATGGAATTGTACCACAAGGTTCCATACTTCAAAAGGAAGGTTAGGATTGATTTTGGGGGTTATGGCCCAAACCATTTAGGAATCAAAGGCCAAAATACATTAGAATTTTCTGGTTTCTGGACAATTACTTGAGTATAAGTCTGTGGATCTCGATCTATGAAATTGTACCACAAGGTTCCATACCAAAAAAGAAGGTTGGGATAGATTTTCTGGGTTATGGCCATTATTGTTTAGGAATTAGTAGCCAAAAAGGGGCCAAAAAACAATACTTTTCTAATACTTTGTATAAATTGCTTATTTCTTGACCAATTTCAATGGGGTTTAATTCAAAGTCTTGATTTCATGGGGTTCGTTAATATGCGGAAACTAACTGACTGTGTATTTAGATATTAAGATATTTGGCCCTGTTTTTTGGAATGGCCCACATTGAGGTCCAAATGGTCCAAAATTAAATTTTTTTGGTTTCATTTCATCAAAAATCTGGTTGATTTTGTTGGGCCGCAGTTTAATAGTTGGTCCAAAATTAAACTTTGTTTGTTTAAAAAAAAAAGAATATATGGGGTTCTTTGATATGCTAAATCTAAACATGTATTTAGATTTTGGATTTTGGCCCCCATTATCAAATTGGTTTACATTGAGGTCCAAAGGGTCCAAAATTAAACTTCGTTTGATTTCATAAAAAATTGAATTCTTGGAGTTCTTTGATATGCTAAATCTAACCATGTGTTTAGAATTTGGATTAATAGGGCCATAATAGGCAAATGTCTAATTTCAAATTTTTAAGTTTTTAGACCACATTTATTCTGTGTCAGAAACCTTAGCTGTGTAAATTGAAATATTTAATCACATTCCAAATTCAGAGCTGTATCAAGCTTGAATGTAGTGTCAATACTTGCCCTAACTGTTAAGGGTTTAACCTCTGCTGTCGTATCAAGCTGCATTTTATTTTTATTAAAAATAATTTAATAATAATTATGAAGAGTATGAACTGAAACAGTTATTTTAATCTAAATCAGTCTTAAAAGACTTTCAGTCAATGACATTGGCGCAGAAGTTAATTCAGTGCTGTTTTAAGAAACTTTTCTTGCAGACACTAAGTAAAATCTACTTCTGTTTAGTCGATTCTCAGAGTGTTCAGTTAATGTTATTGTCCCCCACATGATGCGTTGCAGGGGACATAGAACTACCTGGCGTTCGTCTGTCTGTCTATCTGGTCTTGTTGGCGCTCTCACATATACAATTCTTGCCAGATTTTTAGCTCACCTTTCCAAAGGAAATGTGAGCTTTTGCCATCACTTTGCGTCCGTCTGGTGTAAACTATTTCAAACATCTTCTCTGAAACTACTGAACCAATTCCAACCAAACTTAAGGTGAATGATTCTTAGGTTATCTAGAATAAAGTTTGTGTTTTATTTTCTGTTTCGTCAAAAAACATGGCCGCCATGGCTAAAAATAGAACATAGGGGTAAAATGCAGTTTTTAGCTTATATCTCAAAAACTAAAGCATTTAGAGCAAATCTAAAATGTTCATTAGGTCAAGCTCTATCAGCCCTGAAATTTTCAGATGAATCTAACAACCCATTGTTGGGTTGCTGCCACTTAATTGGTAATTTTAAAGAAATTTTGCAGTTTTCGGTTATCTTGAATATTATTATAGATACAGAAAAACTGAAAACAGCAAAAATGTTCAGCAAAGTAAGATCTACAAATAAGTTTTAATATAACCAAAATTGTCAATTGCCCACTTAAGGAGTTTTTGCCCTTTAAGGACAATTTTACACAATTTGTTTATCATGTTTTCTAACTTTTAAATCTTCTCCTCTGAAACTACTGAACCAAATTAAACCAAACTTAAGCATAATGATTCTTAGGTTATCTAGAATAAAGTTTGTGTATTATTTTCTGTTTCCTCAGAAAACATGGCTGCCATGGCTAAAAAAAGAACATAGGGTAAAATGCAGTTTTTGACTTATATCTCAAAAACTAAAGCATTTAGAGCAAATCAGACAAGAAGTTACAGTATTCTTTAGGTCAAGGTCTACCTGCCCTGAAATTATCAGCCACATCGGGTATCTGATTTTGAGGTTATTGCCCCTGAATTGATGATTTTAAGGAAATTTTGCAGTTTTCAGATATTATCTTGAATATTATTATAGAAAAAGATAACTTGTAAACAGCAAAAATATTCAGCAAAGTAAGATCTACAAATAAGTTTGTATGACCAAAATTGTCAATTGACCCCTTAAGGAGTTATTGTCCTTTAAAGACAATTTTTTCACAATTTGTTCATCTAGTATGCTTACTTTAAAAGATCTTCTCCTTTGAAACTGCTGAATCAATTTCAGCCAAACTTGGGCTGAATGAGTTTCAGAGTATCTAGTATAAATTTTGTATTTTATTTCCTTGTACGTCAAGAAACATAGCCACTTATGATGGCTAAAATGGTACATAGGGGTAAAATGCATTTTTT